AACAATATTATTTTTTATTATCAATTACTTTTTAGTGTGTACATTATTTTATGTAACAACAATACGATTATTTACCAGTCAGTATTAACAACAATGTACACCATACATATATTTTCAATTGATTACAACACTTGCCCGATAATGTCAATGAAACTACTAAATTTAAACACCAGTGGACAACAGTTAGGGCCAGTTGTACCGTCGTCGGTTAAACAGTGATTAAGAGTTAATCTATGATTAACGATGTTGGGTCGTTGTACAGTGCTGGTTAACTTGTTAATCATTGATTAAACGACCAAATAGTTAACCGGCCTGTAGACCACGGTTAAACGCTGATTACTTAATTTTGGCGGTATTGTTATCTATTATTTTAATTTATTCACAGTATCATACTACCACCGTATTTAATGTTTTGTATAATTGACAATTGTGTATTTTTTTATTTAATTGTGTTAAAAATCTTATTTAAAATAATGAATAATATTATGTATGACGATTCTGACTACGAGGATGATGAATTCAACAACTTGGCATTATTATTGTATTTTCCTAGACGACAGCGAGTATTCAAACCACGGCCTGATCATTTCACTCATTGGAGGGATGATGAATTCTTTAATAGATTTCGATTATCCAAAAATACAGTCCATTTCTTATTTGATTTGATAGGCGAACGCATCTGTTCTCCTACTAATTGGTAAGTTCATTCTTAAATTTTACATTTTTGTAATGCCAGACCCAGACGCCAGTATCATATGTTGGATATATTCAATGCGTTACTCTGTACTTCTGAAATCATACATCTTAACCACGTAGTATTATGTACATATCCGAAAATTGAAATAAATTAACCAATCTAACCTCAGTTAGAATGTTATACACAACAATAGACTCCTGTTCAAAAATTACTATAATTAATACATGCTAAACATAAATAATCTTATCTAAAAATCATAATGTTAAGTTGTACAAAATAAGTTACTTAATACTGCACTGTTGAATGTGAAAAGTCTAATAAACTATTTAATTGAAATTGAGTTGTTGTTTCTATACAACTTATCTTGCCATTCATTTATGATTTATTTTATTCATGTAATTTAAATTGACTTTTGTTATAGGAATCATGCTGTAAGTGCAGAACACAAATTACTCCTTACATTACGCTATTATGCAACGGGCTCCATGTTGATTGTTTGTGGTGACTTCATAGGAATCCATAAATCAACAGCCAGCCGTATAGTGAAGCTTGTCTCACATGTTATTGCTACATTATGTTCCGATTTTATTCATTTTCCAAGCAATGAAGATGACATAAAAAAGGTGAAACAAGATTTTTACGACATAGCCAAATTTCCTATGGTTATTGGTGCAATGGATTGTACCCATGTAAAAATAAAATCCCCTGGAGGAGACAATGCAGAAGTGTACCGGAACAGAAAAGGATTCTTTTCCATAAATGTACAAACAATATGTGATGCCAATTTGAAAATACAAGATATTGTAGCTAGATGGCCTGGATCTTCCCACGATTCTACAATATTTAATAATTCAGCAATAAGAGGCAAGTTTGAAAGAGACGAAATGAAAAATAGCATTTTGGTAGCCGACAGTGGATATGCTCAGCGTAGCTATGTTATGACCCTAGTCGGAAACCCTCACACAGTTATAGATCCATTATCAGGGATTTCTGCAGTTGCTATAGACAGATATAATGAGTCTTTAATTAGAACTCGAAACACTGTGGAAAGAAGCTACGGTGTTTGGAAAAGGCGATTTCCCATTTTAGCTACTGGTGTAAATGTAAACATTTCATCTTCTCAAAGTATTATTGTAGCTACTGCAGTGCTTCATAATATAGCATGTAACTTTGGAAAAATTACACCAAGGGTTTCAACTGAAATAGAATCTTCAATTCGAATCACAGACTTCCGTAATCCAGAAGATAATAGAACTAGTAGAAATGCAATTCATCATACTAATAGAAAGAGATTTCTTCGATATTTCCAAAATGCAGTTTAAAATTATAAATTCACTACAAAACAGTATGCAATGTCAACAAAAATTAGTTTTATTTTTTATAAGTATTATATAGTATTTTATAGTAATAACATAAATATTATAATACATGACATATTATATATTAAGAGAATGTAGAAATTAAATTTTCATTTTATCTAAGTAACATTGTGATAATATATATATAAATGTAATAATAAAAATAAAAACATATCAAATTAATAACCCAGTCTTGGTAGTTTACCTTTTTTAGTAGGAACATAATAAAAATAAAAACATATCAAATTAATAACCCAGTCTTGGTAGTTTACCTTTTTTAGTAGGAACATAATAAAAANCAAATTAATAACCCAGTCTTGGTAGTTTTCCTTTTTCAGTAGGAACATAATAAAAATAAAAACATTACAAATTAATAATCAGTCGTCTTGATTGCTTTTTCCTTTTGCAGTAGCAATATTTCTTGTGTTAACTTCAAATTTTTTATTTCAATTGAATGCTTTTCAGCCATCATTTTCATTTCGGTGTCATGCTTTTGTTGCATTAATATCATCTTCAGTTTGTGTTCTTCCAAAAAGGCTGTTTGCTGGTGCTCACTAATTGATGCTCGAGTAGATGCCCATTTTGATATTTTGTCCTCGTAATTTTTTTTTTTTTTAGTAACATGATCATCTAAATATAAAAGAAAACAGGTATTGAATTTACAAATACATACTATGCATTATGGTCAGAGTTGGATACCTAAGTTACTTTATTTATTGTAACTGGTTACAAGTTATAAGTTACTCTAAAACTGTATAACCAGTTACAAGATACTAGATACTTATACTTATATTATATTTAAAAGTTAAATTGATAAATAAAATATGTTAAAATGGTTAGATTGAGGTTAAATAATATTTAGCAATAAATAATTACCATAACAATAATCAAAGAAAAATTAATAACTCAAAGCAAGTCAAAATATTTTAACATATTTTATTTGTCAATGTAACTTTTAACTTAATATGTAACTTGTATCGAGTTACACAACATAAAAATATCTATAAAAAAATAGTATCTTTTAACTGATCATACAGTTTTAGAGTAACTTGTAACTTGTTGCCAGTTTATTGTAACTGTAAAGTAACTTTACCAACTCTGACATTATGGAATATATAAATAAATACAGTACATACCACTACTAGCAGTTAAGGTTGACCGCGATTTTAGATCAGCAGGCGTATAATTTGTCCAGTCCCTTTTGATACATGGTGATGTAGATGGTATCGTTTGATTTACATCACACTCTTTAATAGATAAAATGTAAAATAATAATAATTATATAATAATTTTATAAATTAAATTAACTTACCAGTTGTATCAATATCAGTGGGATTTATCACTATTATATTTTCTCCGAGCATGTCTTCATCAATAGAACGAAGGCTATAGTCAGTTTCCAAGACTATCTGAATCATATATAGATTCCTCTCCTGTCATTCTTGTCTGTAAAATTTCTCCGACAGTTGAATTTATTGATGGGCTGTTAAATAATTTGTGCGGTCCTCCTCCTGTACCTCGATGATATGCCTTTTCATCGGCATATTGCTTTTTGGTTGTACGTTTAATATTTTCGTACTTGTTCTTTAGAACAACAGCACTACGTGGACTATCAATGCACTGGCAATTAAATTCAGCTTCAATTTTTGTCCATGCATCCTTTTTCATTCTAAAGAATATTAATATGTTATTATAAAGGTATATATTTTCAGTACATTATGTTATTTATAAATGTTGAGACTGTTATGGATATTATAGGTATGAGTATATAAAAGTACAGTATTATTATATAGAAAATATATATTTTCTTACTTGGCATTAATACTATCAGTCTTCATGCATTCAATAACTGATCGATGTTTTTTTACCAACGCAATTAATGCATCGACTTCAGTCGCAGAGAAATTAGATGTGCGTTTTAAAGTATTCATAATTAATCTAATATTTATATAAATTATACAAAATAATACTGACTACAGTCTACAATAGTCAATAGACAATAGTACGATGTTTATGTCGTTTATGGCAAATAAAATATAAATTACAAATCACATAATAATAATATACAAATTAATTATGATAACAATGATAAATTGATAACTTAAAACTAAATATTATAGTTGATACCAACTTGGCGATGAAAATATTGTAAATAAATGTAATATAATCAACACAACAAACTTTAATCGTTGATTAACTAATCAGAGTCAAATTGCCCACTGTACAACGCACTGGAATTTAATCATTGATTAAAATTTGATCGACGATTAGTTAATCAATGTTTAATCACGCAACGGTACAACTGGCCCTTATAATGATAAATTAATTATCTTTTAGCACATTTTGTGAAGTAAACTCTAAATAAAATCAAGGTAAGGTTTTCAACACTTACATTTCAAACCAGCAACATACATCACTTACCTATTTGATTATTATTACTACTAATAATAATATATTACTATTGTTAACCAACTACTAAAATATTTAATGACACACCTCACACACAATTGTCAATTGACAAACGTACAGTTACA